TCTACCTCTCTTATACGGCCTTGCTGGAGCCCAAAGTCACTGGCGCGACAATCGCACGCGTGGTGGAGAATCAGGTTCGGGAGGTGGGTCTGAACATGGACCAATGTATTGGACAGGGGTATGATGGTGCAGCGGTCATGTGCTGAAAAAGCGTCGGGACTGCAGCTGCCATCTCCAGGAAGTATCCCATGGCGGTGAACGTTCACTGCCTCAGTCACTCTGAATCTAGCCCTCGTATCCGCATCAAAACTCCGGCAGGTCGCTAACATGTATGGCACAATCCAGGAGACAGTGGCGTTTGTAAATGCAAGTGCCAAGCGCAGCGCCCTTTTCAAGGCGGCTGTGAGCCACAAGTGTCCCGAGGCGAAGCGTCGCCGCCTCATGAGGTTCTGCGAGACCAGATGGGTTGAAACTTAGGGCCTTGGGTTGAAAGGCACGATTCGCTGGCTACATTCTTGGAGCTTTATGATGCTATCGTTCTGACGCTGGATCACATCGCCAAATGGAGAGAAACTAACGCTTCTTCGAAGGCGTCAGTACTGGCACTTGCGATCAAGAACGGAGACTTCATTCTTGTCCTGCACGCAACAGTCACAGTGATGGCTCACACTCGTCCGCTGTCTGTGAGGCTGCAGACGGAAGGCCAGGACCTGAGTGGTGCACTTCCACAAGTCGAGAACGTATCGCGATCGCTACAGCAGCTGAGAGAAGATGCTGAACAGGAGTTCAGGGAGCTCTTTGATGCTGCCCAAAAGAAAGCCACTGAAGTCGGTGCGTCGCCCATTTCTACGCCGCGGACCAAGCAAGCACATGTGACAGACGCAGAGAGTCATCACCGAGTGACAACATTTATCCCGCTGCTAGAGGAGACTATCTCACAACTGGAACGACGCTTCGAAAAACAAGCTAAAACGGCCATGGAACTCGGAAAGCTGCTACCGGGACACCCAGCTTTTGAGTCTGTCGGCGATGATATCGTGGCGTCACTGGCGGAGCAGTACCAGGCTCAGCTAGATCAGGTCGGCTCCGGCAGTATGGTTGTGAAAGCTGAATTCAAAGTGTACAAGGCCTAATGGATCCAGAAGCCCCCCGAGGAGCGACCAAAGGCGTACCAAGAAAGTCTGTCTGGATCCACCCTGGTGCCCTAGCTAATCGCTAACAAGAATCGGCGCATACAGATGTCGCAGTTTATATGCGGTTTGTTTGCAAAGATGTCGCAACTATAGCGACACATGCAGTGCAAATGGTAGCAGACAGCAGTAGTTTCCCCTACGAAAGTGGTGGTTTTCTACCACAGATGCTCGTCGAGGTCGGAATTTCCAAATACGCGCGCGCTCTGACTTCGGCCAAGAAAAATGCGCCAGCTGATCATTGTCATTTCTGCCACTTTCATGTCGTGAGATGGGGTCATAACTTTAGAGACGGCTGTTTCATATCAATTATTTTACATAAAATAATATTTCCAACCATAAATTAATGTTCGACAGCCAAATTAAAGAAACAATACGAATACAGGCTTACAGTTTAAATTCGACATTGTGTTGTCTACGATTAGACAGCTGATAACTCATTCCCGTACGTCATAACTCTATAGTGACCTTTGCTTATTGTCACATGTGCGCCGCATTCGTGATTGTTGCCGACGCCTGTTTGCATGTCAGCCCACTACAGTTATTATACATATCGAAAAACCGATAAACTTTTAGGCGAAAAAAGCACTATTTTAGGCCCATTTTTGCTTTTTTTGCGATATTAGGTAAAAACAGAAGCTTCTTATCCTAGGAAAAATAAAATGGGAAATCGTTCATAGGTGGCACACTACCTTTAAAGGGACAGTATCATCAAAAAAAAATCAATGTATAGAGCTGATTTTTTTTTTACTAGCATTTCCTATTTTTCTGAATCAGAAAAACATATTTTGAGGACCGAACTCGGTGAAAAATATTTTTTCATGAGCGAGTCATTTTCATGAGCGAACCACCACTACAAGCATGGCCGCCACTTTGGAAGCCTGCGAAATTACTACAGAACTGGCGCAGATAATACATTATTGACGCTACGCTTACGCGGCCGCTCTTCTGATTGAGTTGTCGTTAGGGAAAGGCAGCATTAGGTATTGCCCAGAAGATATCACGTGACAAGCTGAAGGAATTCCTTCAAGCTGAAGGAATTCCTTTGTTGAGCCGCTAGAATCCGAAGGAAACAGCGGAAATTGCCTACGACTATTTAATGAATTTAACGGTGATGAATAAGTGCGAAAAACGTTTTGGCTTTATAAAATTTGATGAAATGACCATGGTAAAAGTTTTATTACTGGCGGTCAATTCAAAACGGCGCAAACATTTAAACAGTGAAGATAGTGAAGCACGATTCAAAGTGTAGTACACCTTTCGTACTTTGAGCGGCGATAGCGGGATAACGGTGTGGAGCTTCGACGTTAGGCGGCACGGGCGGACATCGATAGCAGCGCCTCTATCGGTCACTAGGGAAAGCTGGGCTGTAGGCGACGAAATACCGGCTGAGTTGTCACAAGTTAAATAGGTTTATAGACATCCGTTTTGTGAAAAAGTTGAACTTTTGCCTTCAATATTTCTACAGGCAATTTTAGAAGTGCCTTCACATAGATTACAAAACCGTTTAAATTATTTTATTCACTTCAAGCCTTCCCTACTGTTCTTGATGATGCGGGAACTATTTCTAATTAGTGTTTCTAGCTTAGTAAAAGAACATATTGTGCAAACGATGAAAAAAGCATAAATGGAAGATTTTAAATGCAATTTTCTGTAACAAATAATGGTAAATTCTCCACACATCAAGGAAAAGGTGCATGCTAACTGATAATTTAAAGTTCTTGGGGCCAGTTGGTTTCTTCTTTTCTTACGTCGCCCCAATGGCCGCGAATACACTTGTGATAACGCCTATCGAGGATCGGTCTTCAGTTCCCGGACCAGAAAGGTGGGGGCCTATGCAATGTCAAATTTCATCAAAATGGTGATACTGTCCCTTTAAGGGAGGGGAGGCACTGCCGAATTTTGGTCCCATTCTTTCCATGCAACACCCATAGGGCTAATGTTAAAATACCAAAATCAAAGGGGGCACGGTGCCCTGGTGCCCTTCCCATTTTCGCCGCCTATGCTAACAGGGTCAAAGCCCGAGATTTTTCTGCGTCAGTGAGTTTCTTAAGGCCGCCGTCCACTGGTTAAGGTCGCCGTCCACTGGTTAGGCGCGCTTTCAGCGCCTAATCGTTTAGGCGCTGAATACCATTTTCGGCGCCTAATTTGACGATGACTATGCGATGAATTTGATTTCATCGGGATCCGCCATGATAGCTCAAGGACAATTCGATAAAAAATGCATGAAAATGTAATATAATTTGTGGTAATGCACATCACTGACAGATAAATAATAATTATTTATATAATTAATTGCGCCTTTGACCGTGGTTTAATTTGTGTCAGTTTCTTATATGAACCGTAAAAGGTTCATTAAATTGTTCTTGAAGACAATACAATCTCTTAGCAGGGACGGAAATGTAAACAACGTTTGTTATTGTTCTCACATCAGCTAAAAGTCCGTCATTATTCAATTAACTATTCACGACATGGAGCTAAACATCGCACGAATCGCACTAAGCACGACTCGAATCCGGGTGGAGCAGGAGCGCCGTCGAGCCCGACGCAGGTACTGGGTTGCCGAAGTGCTGCAGAGGCGACAAGCCCGAGGCGAGTTTTTTAACTTGGTGCAGGAGCTGCGTGCCGTGGATCCCGACCGGCACCATGCCTACTTCCGCATGAGTCGGGAGACCTTCGACCTGCTTCTCGCCAAGATCGGGCCCAGCATCACGCGCCAGCGCACCAACTTCCGCGAACCTATCGACCCCGCTCAGCGCCTGGCCGTGACGCTGCGGTACCTGGCCTCCGGCATGGAGTTTTCTGCGCTGGCACCCTGCTATCGCCTCGGCGAGAAAACCGTGCGTGCCATCGTGTACGACACATGCGCGGCCATCATCGCCATACTGGGACCGGAGGTGCTTCCAGCTCCCACCAGGGCGACGTGGGAGCGAAGCGAGGAGATCTTCCGCACCCAGTGGAATTTCCCGAACTGCGTGGCCGCGTTGGACGGGAAGCATGTGGTACTCCAAGCCCCTTCCAACTCTGGCAGCGAGTACTATAACTACAAAAAGTCCTTCAGCATCGTCCTCCTGGCAGCCGTGGACGGTGCCTATCGGTTCGTGTACACGTCAGTGGGAAGCGCCGGAAGAGAGTCGGACGGGGGCATTTTTAGGAGGAGTGACCTAGCCGCCAAACTGCAAGACGGCACTCTCGACCTGCCCCCTCCCAAGGCGATCGATCAGAGAGGCACGACCCTACCAAGCGTCATCGTCGCCGATGAAGCTTTCCCGCTGACGGTGCACATGATGCGGCCCTATCCCGGACGTACCGAGAGCCGGCTGGGAGCTCCGGCCACCATCTTCAACTACCGGCTGTCGCGCGCCCGACGGGTAGTGGAGAACGCGTTCGGGATTCTCTCCCAGACGTGGCGCATCTTCCGGCGTCCGCTGAACGTCAATGCTGAGCACGCCTGCACTATTGTCAGGACGGCGTGCATCCTGCACAACTACGTGCGCGACCAAGGACAGGCGGACAGCCAGCAGCCGCAGCAGGCCGACGCCAGCGGCGAGCAGGTGGGCGGACTCTGCGAGCTGGGCAGGCTGGGCGCCAACAACTTCACTCGGGAGGCCGAGCGCATCCGCGACCAGTTCGCCCGGTACTTCATGGCCGAGGGAGCCGTCCCCTGGCAGGATGCTGCTGTCGGGCAGTGAGGGCGCGTAAGCCTGTCACTTCGTGGCTGGGGAGCCGTTCCGCAGCAGGCTGCTTCTGTCGGCAAGTGAGAGGTGCGAGAGGCGGGAATTGAGTCGTCTTTGACGCCACTGGTGTTGCTCCGTGTGATAATGCTGTTTCATTTGTCACGCTCAAAAACCTGTCATATAAATACAAGCATTTCCGGCCTTTGTCGTTTATTGCACGCGAAAGTAGTGGAAATAAATAACATTAACTGTCGCCCTTTCCAACAACCAAAGTCAGATAACCACGTAACGTCCAACTTCAACTTCACAGCAAAGGAGCTCAAACATTTAAACACCAGGTAAACGAATTCACTCCTAAATCAAAACTTGAAAAAGGGTCGCTATAGCGATCAGACAGCGGAAATACACACTACGCAGAATATGACTCAGGCTCAGCAAAGTTCGCCATGGTGGAGGTTGCATGGAGAGGGGACGCATTTGGCCGCATCATATTATCTCAGAATCAAAGGAAGCTGGAAAGACGCCGAACAGGCATTATATAGCTCGCTATAAGCAGACATGTGCATGGATCCGGGAAAATGGATCTGAAATTCGATCCCATGAATCTAGATCTGGGATCCACCCGGATCATAGATCCAACCCCTCAACTTTGTCGAGAGATCCACTCAGATCATAGATCCAACCCCTCAACTGTGTCGAGAGATCCACTCAGATCATAGATCTTACCCATAAGCTCGAGAGATCCGCTCAGATCATAGATCCACCTCTCGGATCCATGCACATGTCTGGCTATAAGATCGTTTTGAATCATTCTGGTCATTTTTTATCAAATATGTGTGAAAAACGTCCCCCCTCCCCCACCCGTGCGAAGGTTATCACCTGCTTTTAATCGGACTGCGCCCTTTTCAAGACTGTAAGAATCTCCAGTCTCGCATCCGCTTTCTTGTCGTCCCTCACACGCTCCATCTCCAACCCCACCAGCTGGCCAAATAGTAGGTCCGGGTTACGGAGGTCGCTCACCGCGCGTTCTATGGACGCTATGGCGGCGTCAAGCTTCTCGGCGCCACGAGCACCCGGCCCCCTGACCTGCTTGACTTGACCGTTGATGCCAGAAGAGCGCGGATGGCTCGGGCCGGCGACACAGCTCGCTGCTGGTGGCACCGCGGACACCCGAGGCGTTCCGAGGAGCGTCGCAGCTGGGAGGACTCCTGAACTGACTGCACAGCTCGCTGCTGGTGGCACCGCGGACATCCGAGGCCCTCCGAGGAGCGTCGCAACTGGGAGGACTCCTGAGGCACAGCTCGCTGCTGGTGGCAACCAGGACACCACAGTTAGATCATCGTGGCTTACAGACGAGCAGTTAAAATACACGCCGTCCTAGGCTCAGATCGATGTATGACTGGCTTACAGGCACTGATAGACACTAGAGTCCTCGTTTGTTACGTTGTTGTCAAATGACGAGGTTATGCTTTTCGGAGTCCTAATGACGAATTTCATGTAAGTTTTGATTTAAGATTATGTCTTTATGCGTTTGGGGTAGGTCAAGTCAGGTCAGTTTAACCAGATGGCGCCATGTCGGCTATCCGTAGTTACAGGTGTCAACCACCAGTGGCAGTTTCGTATTATGCTATGATGGCTGCATACCATTTGAACAAACTCACCAGCACTGTCGTCTGGTAGTTGAGTCTCGCTGCTGTCCTCATCAGACACACAAAGCTGAAACACATGATGATTACGTGAGTGAAGATTGATGCGAGATATTTGATAGGTCACCAAAAATGGTTAGAAAATGAAATTCGGCCAATTGCAAGGTTCGTTTGGATGTTGACTACGACCGAATTCTTCCGAACACCCTAGACCGAATTCTTCCGAATTTAACATTTTTGAAAAACGCCCCGAAAATCACGATTAAACAGCCGCAATAACACTAATTAGCATTGGATCTCTTTTGACCCCTGTACTTAACCTTCGCCCGAGTGCCCGTGTTTTGGCCACACTTGCCAGTTTTGTTTGCGCGCTTCAAGAAAACCTGGTATAAACATGGTATAGCATATGATGGTATAGCATATGATATATACCTGCGCAAACATGGTATAGCATATGATACATCAATTTGGATACTCAGCAGGATACAGGATACTCAGCCCTGTATCCTGCTATGTACCATAATACTCCCGAGCTTTCTGCAATCGGTCTGTTTGATGTTCCCTGATTCAGGCAGTGTATCGCGGATGTACAGGGGCCTCTGTTAGCAATGTGACATGATCAATCCCATTTTTCAGCTCTACAAGTGACACCACCTTAGTTGAAGCCGTGAGACGTCATGACGTGCTCTGGCGTCCTCAGGACAGCAACTACTTTAACAGAAATAAGAAGAAGCTAGCATGGGAGGAGGTGGCAAAGACCACTGGGAGATCAGGTAAAACTTACGCATCATATTTTGCTTGTACGTGTTGTAAATGGTGCCAACAGCCACAGGCTCTGCCACGTTTTTAGAATTGGGTTCTAAGCTTTAAAATGCGAACCCTTACACATCCGTGGTGCTTGTATAATTGTGATGTCTCTCAGGTAACAAACACATGTCGCTTGACAAAATAAATTTTCAAGGCTCTCACCAATTTTATTCCCTGCTTTTCAGTTCAGGATGCAAAATCGAAATGGAAAAGTCTGCGTGACTACCACCTACGCAAACGCAGGCAATTGCCAAGTGGCTCTGGCTGCCCGCCACCAGAGAACTCCTCCTGGCAAAAGGAAATGTCATTTTTGGATGATGCCATCAAGCCTAAACCGTAAGTTAACTGCAGTAGGATGTATGTCCTGGATTTTAGTGCACGTCCTGGATCTTTGCATTAGGACATAGAGATGAAAAGTCTTTTTTCAAAAATGTTGTATTCCAGTAGCACAGATCTTGCACATTGCCCAGTAGTGCTCCATTACTGGAGCAATAAGCATAAGCAATAAGCTTCACTGTCGTATTAATTAGTTGCTGTGCTGACTTCTGAGTTTTTTTTTTACCCCTCCCAGTCCATACCACTTTTCCATTAGAAAACCTGTTGTATTCCTGTCATGTATCAAATGCTACGTTCCTTCCTTTCCTATGCAGGGTAACGACAAACTTGACGCAGCCTGGAACAGGATCGCAATCCTTATTCTACTACACAAACCAATACTCCAATGAGGTGTGTAAAGTGATTTCTGGGTCACTCTAAATGATGATCCATATCCGATCTTGGGCGTTTCATGACTCCTTTCAATGCAGTGATTTCGTTGGAAATTAATAAAGCAATGCCGTGACATGCAACAGGCCTGTTCTAGCTGTTTACATTGATTGTTTTTTTCTTGTTTGTTTGTTCATTTGTTTTTAACGAACAGTGTTGCCAAGTTTCATTTAAAACCTTTTGGTCATCATGCACCTTAACAATCGCCTCCTCAGGCCCATTGTTATTCCCAGACTCCGCTCTGTAGAGGAGCTAGTAAGAGGGTCTCTGCCCTGTTATTTACGAGACTACTGGACCAGTTTTCAAAGCCGGTCGAAATTCGAAATGCCCAAATGTATTCCTGATTGGAATTCAGCTCCCAAATAAAGGTTTTTGTAAGTTTTATAAAAGTAACCGAGATACGTTTTTGATATACTCGCAAAAAACCAGCAGCAGGGCGCAGATTAATCACTAAGATTTGAAAAGGAACTTACGTAACCTGGGGTCAAAATTTTCAAAAACGATGCGAAATTGATGTATCATATGCTCTACCATGTTTTCTTGAAGCGCGCAAACAAAACTGGCAAGTGTGGCCAAAACACGGGCACTCGGGCGAAGGTAAGTACAGGGGTCAAAAGAGATCCAATGCTAATTAGTGTTATTGCGGCTGTTTAATCGTGATTTTCGGGGCGTTTTTCAAAAATGTTAAATTCGGAAGAATTCGGTCTAGGGTGTTCGGAAGAATTCGGTCGTAGTCAACATCCAAACGAACCTTGCAATTGGCCGAATTTCATTTTCTAACCATTTTTGGTGACCTATCAAATATCTCGCATCAATCTTCACTCACGTAATCATCATGTGTTTCAGCTTTGTGTGTCTGATGAGGACAGCAGCGAGACTCAACTACCAGACGACAGTGCTGGTGAGTTTGTTCAAATGGTATGCAGCCATCATAGCATAATACGAAACTGCCACTGGTGGTTGACACCTGTAACTACGGATAGCCGACATGGCGCCATCTGGTTAAACTGACCTGACTTGACCTAACCCAAACGCATAAAGACATAATCTTAAATCAAAACTTACATGAAATTCGTCATTAGGACTCCGAAAAGCATAACCTCGTCATTTGACAACAACGTAACAAACGAGGACTCTAGTGTCTATCAGTGCCTGTAAGCCAGTCATACATCGATCTGAGCCTAGGACGGCGTGTATTTTAACTGCTCGTCTGTAAGCCACGATGATCTAACTGTGGTGTCCTGGTTGCCACCAGCAGCGAGCTGTGCCTCAGGAGTCCTCCCAGTTGCGACGCTCCTCGGAGGGCCTCGGATGTCCGCGGTGCCACCAGCAGCGAGCTGTGCAGTCAGTTCAGGAGTCCTCCCAGCTGCGACGCTCCTCGGAACGCCTCGGGTGTCCGCGGTGCCACCAGCAGCGAGCTGTGTCGCCGGCCCGAGCCATCCGCGCTCTTCTGGCATCAACGGTCAAGTCAAGCAGGTCAGGGGGCCGGGTGCTCGTGGCGCCGAGAAGCTTGACGCCGCCATAGCGTCCATAGAACGCGCGGTGAGCGACCTCCGTAACCCGGACCTACTATTTGGTCAGCTGGTGGGGTTGGAGATGGAGCGTGTGAGGGACGACAAGAAAGCGGATGCGAGACTGGAGATTCTTACAGTCTTGAAAAGGGCGCAGTCCGATTAAAAGCAGGTGATAACCTTCGCACGGGTGGGGGAGGGGGGACGTTTTTCACACATATTTGATAAAAAATGACCAGAATGATTCAAAACGATCTTATAGCCAGACATGTGCATGGATCCGAGAGGTGGATCTATGATCTGAGCGGATCTCTCGAGCTTATGGGTAAGATCTATGATCTGAGTGGATCTCTCGACACAGTTGAGGGGTTGGATCTATGATCTGAGTGGATCTCTCGACAAAGTTGAGGGGTTGGATCTATGATCCGGGTGGATCCCAGATCTAGATTCATGGGATCGAATTTCAGATCCATTTTCCCGGATCCATGCACATGTCTGCTTATAGCGAGCTATATAATGCCTGTTCGGCGTCTTTCCAGCTTCCTTTGATTCTGAGATAATGTGATGCGGCCAAATGCGTCCCCTCTCCATGCAACCTCCACCATGGCGAACTTTGCTGAGCCTGAGTCATATTCTGCGTAGTGTGTATTTCCGCTGTCTGATCGCTATAGCGACCCTTTTTCAAGTTTTGATTTAGGAGTGAATTCGTTTACCTGGTGTTTAAATGTTTGAGCTCCTTTGCTGTGAAGTTGAAGTTGGACGTTACGTGGTTATCTGACTTTGGTTGTTGGAAAGGGCGACAGCTAATGTTATTTATTTCCACTACTTTCGCGTGCAATAAACGACAAAGGCCGGAAATGCTTGTATTTATATGACAGGTTTTTGAGCGTGACAAATGAAACAGCATTATCACACGGAGCAACACCAGTGGCGTCAAAGACGACTCAATTCCCGCCTCTCGCACCTCTCACTTGCCGACAGAAGCAGCCTGCTGCGGAACGGCTCCCCAGCTACGAAGTGACAGGCTTACACGCCCTCACTGCCCGACAGCAGCATCCTGCCAGGGGACGGCTCCCTCGGCCATGAAGTACCGGGCGAACTGGTCGCGGATGCGCTCGGCCTCCCGAGTGAAGTTGTTGGCGCCCAGCCTGCCCAGCTCGCAGAGTCCGCCCACCTGCTCGCCGCTGGCGTCGGCCTGCTGCGGCTGCTGGCTGTCCGCCTGTCCTTGGTCGCGCACGTAGTTGTGCAGGATGCACGCCGTCCTGACAATAGTGCAGGCGTGCTCAGGATTGACGTTCAGCGGACGCCGGAAGATGCGCCACGTCTGGGAGAGAATCCCGAACGCGTTCTCCACTACCCGTCGGGCGCGCGACAGCCGGTAGTTGAAGATGGTGGCCGGAGCTCCCAGCCGGCTCTCGGTACGTCCGGGATAGGGCCGCATCATGTGCACCGTCAGCGGGAAAGCTTCATCGGCGACGATGACGCTTGGTAGGGTCGTGCCTCTCTGATCGATCGCCTTGGGAGGGGGCAGGTCGAGAGTGCCGTCTTGCAGTTTGGCGGCTAGGTCACTCCTCCTAAAAATGCCCCCGTCCGACTCTCTTCCGGCGCTTCCCACTGACGTGTACACGAACCGATAGGCACCGTCCACGGCTGCCAGGAGGACGATGCTGAAGGACTTTTTGTAGTTATAGTACTCGCTGCCAGAGTTGGAAGGGGCTTGGAGTACCACATGCTTCCCGTCCAACGCGGCCACGCAGTTCGGGAAATTCCACTGGGTGCGGAAGATCTCCTCGCTTCGCTCCCACGTCGCCCTGGTGGGAGCTGGAAGCACCTCCGGTCCCAGTATGGCGATGATGGCCGCGCATGTGTCGTACACGATGGCACGCACGGTTTTCTCGCCGAGGCGATAGCAGGGTGCCAGCGCAGAAAACTCCATGCCGGAGGCCAGGTACCGCAGCGTCACGGCCAGGCGCTGAGCGGGGTCGATAGGTTCGCGGAAGTTGGTGCGCTGGCGCGTGATGCTGGGCCCGATCTTGGCGAGAAGCAGGTCGAAGGTCTCCCGACTCATGCGGAAGTAGGCATGGTGCCGGTCGGGATCCACGGCACGCAGCTCCTGCACCAAGTTAAAAAACTCGCCTCGGGCTTGTCGCCTCTGCAGCACTTCGGCAACCCAGTACCTGCGTCGGGCTCGACGGCGCTCCTGCTCCACCCGGATTCGAGTCGTGCTTAGTGCGATTCGTGCGATGTTTAGCTCCATGTCGTGAATAGTTAATTGAATAATGACGGACT